GAGAGAGAGGAGAGAGAGAGGAGAGAGGAGACCGACGGTTTTGTTCGAGCCATACTTTTCGGTCCAAACCGAGGCACAGAGCGAGGTCGCTTGTCCGACCCCAACAAAGAACAAGGGTCCTTGTAGCCCAGGTCTGAGAGGCGAAGAGCAGTAGGCAGAGCCTGTTGTTTTTGCTCGGGAAACACGAAACCGGCGGTAGGGAGGAGTGTGTTACCGACGGACATAAAAGATAGCGGTCATCTTTGTCTTACAAAAGGAAGTCAGTCGTCCTGTGCCCGACTCACGGTGTCTATGTCTTACCGACAAACAAACAAGGGAGGGTTAGACTGCCCATTAATAAAACTCTCAGGACACACTCTATACGACGTAAGCCAACGTGCAAAATTTTGGTGGGTGTCCTTTATGAGTATTATTTATTATTATTAATATATCTGTAAATTTTGTTGCAGTAGAGTTTCGAGTACTTATTTGTAATTTTTTTTTAATTAGATTATTTTCGTATTAACTTATTATTACCATATACTTTTCCAACTTCACGTATTGAAATTTAATGATTTTACTCAGAACTCTCGGATCGCTGTTTTTGTAAATTGCATAAAACAGGTGCAACTGAGCCCAGACCTTTGTCTGACTACTGCGGACTATCCGTGGCGTCAAAAACTTTCCTTCAGTCGACCGTAACCACTAGCGAGCGCCGCGAATGTCTTCGAAAACGGCGCAACCTACAGACTTTTATCAAAAGTACCGAGTCGCTCCGCATCGATAGTCGGACTTAGACTGTTCTACAATCTCTCGGCTCGGTTCAGTGTGAATAGTTAAGTCATTTAAGTTATTTTGCAATGTAAATTTTTTTTGAAGTTAAAGTTTAGAGAAATACTTTACTCTTAGTTTATTCCGGGAGTAAATTGATTGAAAGATTTACTTTCTTACGCAAGAGAGAGAGAGAGAGAGAGAGAGAGAGAGAGAGTGTGTGAGAGAGAGAGAGATAGAGAGTTTGTGTGAGAGAGAGAGAGAGTTTGTGAAAGAGAGAGAGAGAGAGAGAGAGAATTTAAAACTGAAACAGAGACATGAATCTCTGATGAACGGAGAATATTTATGGCGCAGGATGGCAAAATGGAAATAATTAAAATCTTAATGTTGTTGTTTTGAATCAGAATCAATGTTTGTTTAACCTTTAGTGTGTGACAGTTGCTCCATTTAAGAATAAAATTAAATAAAACATAAATAAAATATAATACAAAAATATAAATAAACAGAATAAGATAAGGGAGACCTTGCAATAAAAAAGTTCAATTAAAATACAATGAAAATGTTTAAATAAATATAAGAAGTTAGGGTTGAATGTCCAATTAAAGATCAAATAAGACAACATTTAAAATGTAAATACAAATGTGCTACAATATATAATAATATTTAATTACAATAAGTCTATCGCACAATTCTTGTGGTCAATCTGTCTTGCAATTTATTTACAGAAACCAGAGGAAAACTCCAAGTGGCTTTATTGGAAAGGCTTAGTCATATTGGCTTTTTATTGCTACCACGTCACATGCTATGACATCTGCATAGTTTTTCCTCTTTAAATATTAAAAGGTGTAATTATGTGGATATGTGGAATAGGTCAAAATGAAATCTGAATTTCCAAAAACACCTCAAACAACAGGTTTTAAGTCCAGGAAGCTCTCCTCCCCAAACATGTCTTTAAATCACTGTATTTACTTCCATCTCTATTCCTTCAAAACAAGCAAAGGAAGTTCTTCCCTTCTCTCTCAGGTCCTCCATCCCCCCAAGACAAGCATCAAACCAAAACAAGCCCTCCGAGGCAGACAAGAGAACAGGACCCTGAACCTCTGAACAACTACTATCCCAGCTGCGTCTCCGAGCTTCTTTTGGGAAGCCGCCAGCGAACCTGCAGGTGACTGAAAACATAGAATCTGGGTTTGGCTGCAGAGTCAGAGGCCCAACCACCGGGACACACCCAGAGCAGGTATGGCAACATGACCCAACATCATGCATCACTTTTTAATTATAACCCGACACAAGTATAGCAGATCTGAGGAGTTTACAGCACGTTTGATGCCAGCCTGTTTTCTCATTAAGGCAGATATCCAGGAAGCAGCTGTGGTTCAAAACAGCAGCTCAGGAACACACACTTACATACAAGGACACGCTTCAGAGGAAATGCACGACTTTAGTGGATGTTATTCCTAACCAGCAGTTGGATATAGTACATACTTACTCTGGGAATGTACTTGTATTTAACATGAGTATTTCCATGTTATGGTACTATACTACCTTTTATAAGCCAATATACATTTCACTACCTTTATTTCATTAGTAGTTACTTGATTATGAGCTAAAACAAATATAAATAAACAGTCTTTTTAACATGCTACTTCTACTTGAGTAAGATATCTCAGTGCGTCTTCCCCCCCGCTGTTCCTACCTGAGCAGAGGATGCCTTTGTGTCGGGCGCAGGAGAAGTCGTCACACTCGCAGTAACTCCCGTAGATCTTCCCGAACTCGGACTCGTAGCAGAGGCACTGGTTGCAGCTGCACTCGCCCCGCCCGCTGCACACCTGCTTGCCCTCCGCCTCGCGACAGGCGCTCAGGTACGAGCTGCCCGACTCGCCCTCCTGACACTCGCAGCGAGCGCCCAGGTACCCCGGCTCACAGCGACACGTCCCGCAGTTATAGGTACCTGCAGGGGGCAAAACACACTTTAATCACTTATTGCATTTCGGATTATTCAGCTGCACAACTTCAGTTTCTAGCTGTCGTGATCATTTCATTTATTGCAAACTGACTACTAAAACGCCATATATGGGGCGAAGCCTGCGAGCTAGTTCAGACAGTCAACTCGAGCATTCATACATAACGCCCCTTGGCACTCTACAACCAACCAAACAGAGTCTCCTTAATAAGCCTCTCTATTTAACCTGCCAGATCTCTCTCCATGCATTGCTTGCTGCTGCTGCTACTTCCACGTCGCTGCTGCTTGCCAGCCCCCCACCACCCCAGCTTCCACCTGTAGGCTCGGGGGGTTAGTTATTTAATCATCGCTCATCGTGCATGTATATCTGTGGATATGTGATGAGGCCGAGCGTAGACGCCAAACTCAACTATATGCTGCTTCTAATAAACTTCTAATAAAGCATGTTAAGAAACACGTGAGGTTGTCTTGGACTTGATAAGAATAGGCTTACGAAATAAGGCACACATGTTCTCGTGATTAGTGAGGTTTATCAACCAGGTGGGTCCCACTCTTAAGGCTGTGAAACAAGTGAGGTAAGGTTGCACCACTCTCATCAAGTATTGGTTCTTAGGCTAAAAGAAATCTTTCCGCTTTTGAAGGCTCTTGACTAGAAGCACTTGACCCTCAGAAGATGGAACTTGAAGTTTTCGCACCCAAAAGCTTAATATCCACCCTCGCAGCACCTGCTGATGTCTTGGCAGGAAACACTGATCCTGGGACTGTGAGTCAAAGTAAGTAAGGGCACGTCGGAGACCAAACACCCTGGGGCAGGGCATGTGGGGCTCAAATGTGTTCGAAAAAAAAAGGAACATAAGCTTTCGCGCTTGGATATTTGCCAGATACAACCACTGTATGCTTTGCATCCAAATCGGTTTGAATAAAATGGTATTTCAGTTTCAGTTTCACAACTCAGATTTCTAACTGATTTGTGAATTTCAATATATACTCTGAAAAATAAGGATTAGGATTGCCACTTTATTGATCTCAAATTTGGGGAAAATTAAAAGGACTAAGAAATTAACATATCAAAATATTTCTCTAATGAAATAAAAAATAGCAGATTAAAGAGTCAAAAATAATAGATGTGGAAAATATAACATCATATAAAGCATGGATATTTATTAAACAATTAATTTAGCAGGAACGATTTATTACATATTTAATTTGAATATAATGTCAAATGTACAGTAGTCCTTGAAATTCTGAAATGTTTTCCTGTCCAGATTATAGTTTGTTTAACGTTAACCACCTTAGTCGTTCAAGGCACCGTCACTACACTGATGTGGACTGCATTTGCTTTTTAGAATATCTCAATTTACAGAGTATTATAATTTTTGTCTTTATTGTACCCACCA